GTTGTGGAAACTAAATAAAACAGTGCATACGAAGCACTTAGCACAAGACCTGGCCCCTAGTAACCAACATCTAGTACTTACTATTTAATATTGCTCCCTTCAGCTAATCTCTTATTGAGCCTCTTATTATTTTGAGGCTTTGCTCAAATATTTTTGGAATTTAAAATTTTCAGTTGCCTTTAGATCCTGAGGCATATTCAGTCTGTTAAATGTCTTCAGTTGTAAAGGTAAATTTATAGTATTATAGGAATACTCAAAATTCTGAGTTCACCTAGTAGGTAAAAAGCCTAATAATTACCATTTTTGACTCTTTGGGCAGGTTTGGGACAGACTCAAGGGAAGATACTTAAATTTTCACTTGAGCAGAATGCTCTAGAGACATGCCTTGCACTTTGGAGAACATAATGGAGGTTCTATTTATCCAGGTCTTGAAGAAAGTTAGAATTTATACAGCTTAGAGAGGGAAAAGGGCAATGTAACTGAAGAAATCTTGTGACCATATAAAAGAAGGCATAGAAATATGGGAAATATTGGATAGATATTTTTATGTGACTAAAGGGTAGAGTAAAGGAAGGGAGGGTAATATTAGAAATTATTTCAGAGAGCTAGAAAGACCAGTTAGGATGTTCTCTTGTACTTATTGTAAGAAATAAAGTCAGAATATATGGGTTGGATTTCAGAATACTGTGTGAAAGGGAAAAAAGAATGATTCTAAGGCATCAGATAGCTAGACTAGTTCATCATCCTGGTAAATAGTTTTCATACCACTTCTCTAACCTCACTCCAGTTTATTCTCCATACTGCCCTGAATGGTACATTCCTTAAAATATCCTTATGTTTATCAGTTTACTCCATTCCTTGCCTATAGAATAAAATTTCTGATTTAAAATTTTGATATAACAGGCCATTTACTGTCTATGTCAAATATAAAGCCTTTCATAGGTACCCACAAGTTAACTTTCGGATTTTTACTTTACCTCCCCTATATCCTCCCTCACTGAACTTGTCACTCTTCTAAGTATACCTTTTATGGCTCCATAACTTTATTCCCGAAAGTCACTCATTGAAATGCCCCCTTCCCCCTACAAATTTCAGCTGTTTCTTCAAAACCTAGTTTTTCCTCCATGAAACTATTTTCTGTTACTTCAAGGATCTCTTAATTATTCAGATCTTTTAATAACATTTTTACAGATGTTATTCTTATATTTTTCCCGCTAAACTAAGAGCTTGCAATTTTTTTTAATTTAAAAAGCCATATAGTAAATACTTTTGGTTTTGTGGACAATAGAGTGTCCGTGCAACTAAACTCTGCCATTATGGCGTAAAAGTAGCCATAGACAATACATAAATAAATGGGTGTGGCTGTGTTACAATAAACTATTTACCAAAACAAACAGTAGGCTGTATTTGGCTGTAGTTTGCCAACCCCTGAATTAATGTATTCTGACCCAGATATTTTGTTAAAAGTTTATAAATGAAAGATGTTTACATATTCATCTATTATAACTGACCTCAGAGTCTGGGAAATGAACATAGGAACAGAAAATATACCACAGAGGTATGTGCTGAAATGGAAGAAATTGGGCATTGCCATAAATCAAGACAAAAGATAGCGTGGGAGTTCATTAGCACCATTTATAGCAGTAAAAGAAAAGAAGAATTAGAAAGTAAACAGGTTTTAGTCCTAGGAAAGGTTTTGAAAGAATCTTATTAGTTGTGCTACCTTTTTAGTGTTGCTAAATGGGGCAACTTTTAGAGATTCATATTCTCTGTGGCTTTTGTGATCTTGGCCTTTATTGGAAAAGCTAGATACTTAAACCCAAAGAAACATTATTTGTTTTTTTTTTAATATTCATGTTTATTTCTTAAATTATAAATACACATAATGCTTGTCATGTGGCAAGTACTCAATAGTAGAATATATAGTAGAATTTTAGACACATCGCATTGTGAAGTTTTGCAAGAGATTGTCTCAGCAAGTATAACATTTATATCCAGAGCAAATAATTTAAATTTTCGTGTCATTTCTTAGGTGCTCTGTAACAGAGCCAGACTGGTTTCCTATCTCCCAGGATTGTACTCTTTAGTTAAAAGGGTTGTCAATCCCAAAGCCTTTTCAACTGCAGGATCTTCAGGTTCTGATGAGCCTCATGTAGCCACTGCACCTCCTGATATATGTAAGTAAATGTTATCATTGTTTCACTTGTAATTGTCTCATAACATCTTGAGTTATGTTTTCTGTAATATTTCTTTTTAAGGTTTTATAGACTTTCTAAAGTTGAATTTATCCCATTGAAAATAAAATCAGAGCTCTGACTAAATATATCAGAAAGCTACAACATGAAAAAGAATGAATATTGATTTCTTAAACTTTAGTTTCTGTCTTCAAATACATAGTCTTTTCAAATCTTCTTTTAATCCTATTAAATGTTTACTGCTTTTTGCCATTCTTTACTGATATATAGCTAGCGCTTTTTATACATGTGTTTATTGAATCGACAACTTACCCGCTATCTACAAAGGCTGCTTCTTCTAATCTGTTTTGCACACCACCATCATATTAATCATTCTGTAACATTTTAATCATGTTACTTCTTGATAAACCTTGGTTATCTTCTCACTGCTTTCAGTAGCATTTCCCCAACTGTCTGTCCTCAAGCAATGAAAATTTTTCAAGGTCAAAAAAATTTTTTTAATTTCTTTGATTAGGTAAATTTGAGAAATGCTATATGCCATAGTCCTATCTTAGAGGTTTATAAGGCACACTAAAATATTAAGGGAGGACTCTTAGAAATTTAATGTAATGTATCCTAAAAGGATTGGGCGTGGAATCCTTTTATTCATGCAACACGTTACTTAAAATGTAATATAAGTTTACTTGGGCATGCAAAGCCTTCCCTAGTTTTCTTGCCCCAGTTTAATAACTCCAACTCTGCTTATTCTCCAATAGATATTATCTGAAGGCTAAACATATATGTATCATAAACAAAAAATTTGTTGTCATCAGAACATATAAAGGGTTAAAGGGTTTGCATCTTTAATATATAAAGAAATTTTATGGACCAATAAGAAAAAGAAAAACCCAGTAGAAAACTGAACAAAAAAATTTTTAAATGGATATGAACAGACTTTCTGAAAGAGAAAACTTAAATGACCAGTACATGTGAAAATATGCTCAAATCCACTATGAATGAATATGGGATATTTATTTTCTTTCAGGAGACTATTCGATCTGAAGTTAAAACCCATCTTGTTCAAAAATAGCTAATATGTTTTCACTTATGAACTAACTCCAGTCAATCATTAGTGGCTATCCAGAGCCTTATTACTCAATATTTTCTTCAGACTAGTAGCATCGACATCATTTGGGAAGTTGTTAGAAACGAAAAATCTTGAGCCCTACTCCTGACCTACTAAATCAGAATCTGCATTTTTATAAGATCTAAGATAATTCTTAAATACTTAGAAGTTTGAGAAGTATTGGGGTGTTGGGTTAAGAATTATGAGACAGTCTGGGTTCA